GACAAACCAATGTTTGTGTCACTAGGGAAAGAGGGAGGGGGCTGTGTGTGTGTGTAATATGAGTATGTCAGCGTATGTATTAACGGGACACTGTGCAAGCATGTCAACGTATGTGTATGTATCCATGAGTGTCAAAGTATAAATATATGTGTGTCCATGTGTATATATGTGTCTGTGCATGTGAAGAAACATTATGGTATGGTGCAGAACAGGAGTCGAGAGGCCCTTGGGTTTCCTGGGGGACAGATGCTTTCCCCCTTTAGACCTTAGTTTCCTCATTTGTAAAATGAGGAAAATGAGATTGGACTAGATATCCTCTAAAGTCTCTCTTAACCCCAAAGTTTCATTTCTGTATATGAGCCTCATGTGTTTTATTATTTCCTCTGGGGCTTTAGAGTGAGAGCTGGGGTGGGGGTGGGGCTGGGGGGGGGAGGAGAGGGAGGGGGAAATAGTACCCCCTAGTGGGTGTGGATGCTTTTCACTTCCTAATGTAGTCCTAAGCTCTAGGTGAGCCAGTATGGGGTAGGGGTTGGAGTGGGCAAGGGTGCAAGGAATCATAGCCCTTCTGGGTCCTAGGCCTTGCCCCTTTCCCGCTCTCCTGCCATCCTAAGTTTTTCACTTGTACCCAACCAGTAGAGATCCTGTCCTTCGTGCAAGGGGCCGGCTCAGACCCGGGGTCCTCTTGCCCCCTCCCCACCCTACCCCAATGATCAGCACTCTCTTTAGAGGCAGTAGAGAGGAAGTGAGGTACTGCTGGGCCCCCATGGTGATAGTGTCAGCAGCCCCCATCTCTGCCCTTCCTCCAGCTCCCAACCCCAACACACTCAAGGACACTGAAATGCCCACCACGTGCATTGCTTCTGATTCTCATGGCTGTCCCCCTTTCCCCAACCCCCAGCCACTTAACCTCCTGTCATTGTCCCACCAGTAACATAATTCTCAGACGACAAGGAAAGGGGAAATCAGTTCTTTATTAGTTGGAGGTCACGCACACAATCACTGATTCCTCCCCCACCCCCATCATCTCTTCTTCCTCCTTGACGCCTGAGGCTTCTGGCTCCGTTGGGCCTCAGGTCCAAGAGAACAACATTTCCAAGTTTCTCTGAGGGTCTTCCCCAAATTTCAGGTAGGTCCTACCCTCCCACTATGCCCTTATTCCCCCTCCCCCAAAACACTGTTTAAGGGACCACAAGGTACTGCCCGAAGTAGAAGGAAAGAGGGAAAGGGGGAAAGGATTCTTAAAAGTACGGGCTCTGCTCTGCCCAGCAGAGCGTTATCCACTTGACTGCATAGGCTGGGGATGAGTTTTTTACTCAATCCTTAGTAGATGTTGCCATTAGGGGCACTAAGCTGGAGCACAGAATGATCTGGGGACAGTGTTGGTCACTGGGGAAGTATTTACCTGATCCTTGGTGCCACTAGGCTGACAGTCCAGAAGAGGGGTGGTGAGGATAACCGATGGCGTGTCTCCGAAGCCCACAGTACACTCATCCATAAAGTAGGAAACACTACACCCTACATTGCTGTTAGTAGTGCTTTCTACTTTATGGGTGACTGCACTGTCTGTCTGTGTCTGTTGAGCTGGTGGGTCTGCCTACTTCCTTCTTCTGCCACCTGCTTTGAGAGAGACCCCACCCCCACCCCTACCCCAACCCTTAACTTTGTCCCTCTTCCAAAAAGGCCTACCTATTTCCAGTCCCCCCCACCCCAGCTCCAGACTTCTGGGACTCCCCCTGAAGTACAAATAGGGCAGTGAGGGGACCCGCCCTGGGCCTCATGGCCAGTGACTCAGCATGGCACTCATCCTCCCTCCTCTCAACCTCCCCCCCCACTTCCTCTTTGGGTACATCTCCTGTCCTCCAAAGCACCCCCCACCCCTACCACCCGCAGCCATTTTCTAGCAGAAACAGGTGCAGATTGTGGTTCCCATGACAATTTACCCCAATCTCACCAAATTCCCATCCCATTTCAGTGATCCTTACTGACTTACCCCTTTCCCCAAGAGCATTCCCCTTCTACCTATCCTCCCTTAACCACACACACACAGTCTCCTCATCACGGCCTCCCCCAACCAGACCTCCCTGCCTGGCTCTGTTCTCCCATTCCTGCTTATTCTTAGCTCTAGTTCAACTCTCAATCCCAAGGGGGCCCTTAGTCCCTTATACCCTGTGACTCTCTGATGGGCCCTCCCACCAATGATGAATCCTGGGTGCCACGGATGTGGCCATCTTGGATGGAGGTAGTAATAGAGGGGTCTGCCCCAGGAGGGCCATGTGCCTCTCTGCTATCCCTAATTCTCATCACAAAGCCTCTTTCTGGCACCCACCCTCTGGACCTCACTAGTTATCTCTGCCACTAAGGGTGTCTGCCACTTCTTCCTCCATCTCTAGGGCTGAGAGGAATTTCTCCACCCTCATCCCAAGCAGTAAAGAAGCAAAAGCTCTGTACACAAGGAACAGCTCCTCTGTTCTCCTCTACCCTCCCTCCCCCCACAAAGGGTAGAGTCAGAATTCAAACCTGCAACCCCAAGGGTCCGAATGTGAAACCTTGGTTCCCAGGCCCCTCCCTTCCTCAGCCTTACAGCTCAAGACTGCCTGCCCTTTCTCAGTTCCTCTGCTTGCCAGCCTGTTGTTCACTCTTTCCGCCCTAACTCCTAGCGCCTTGAGGCACTACCCTACACCGTTCCTCCTCCCCCACTTTCACTCCCCAGACCTTTCCTTCTCTCCTCAAGGCCTATGCCAGACCCAGTTTTTATCCCTGACCTCCATCTTCCCCCCATGTTTGTGAGCTGGGGAGAAGGGAGAGAAAGGGGTATGAATTGACACTTACCTGGTGGTACTACCATGATGGAGTGGGTGAAGAGTAGCCTGTGTGCTCCAAGAGCTGAAATGGGGTCCTCTACTAAGCGTGCACGGTTTATAACCCCACGGACCACGTGGGACTGACCACAGAGTGATCAACCACTCATAGGGCTGCTGGCTCCACCCCCCCCCTCACTCCACCCTCACCCCCACCCCCAACTAGGCAGGCAGCCCCAGGAGATTAGAGAACTCCTCCCCCCACCCTAGTCCCCAGGGTTGGCAAGACAGACTGACAGGAAACCAGTAGCAATGCTGGGTCCTAGGGAAAGCAAAGGAAGGGGGGAGGGTAGCAAAGGATGCACACACTCTGGGTAGGTGGCATCAAAAGACCCTAGACTACAGGTCTCTGCTCCTTCCCCTCATGGTACCTGGTAGGTACCCAGGGCCTCAGTTTTTTCACTCTATTTCTGGATGATATATAGGCCTGGCTATACCTCATTTGGGATTTCGAGGAAGGCTCGCAGAGGGCACATGGACTCATGGTGGAATGAATCCTAGAGTGGAATAGAAACCTTGGCCCCCAGTGTGAGGAAATGCCTCTCTTCTCCAGGCTCCTCCAACCTAGAGACCAGAGAGATCTCTCAACTCTCTTGGTCAAAGGTGACACCCAGAACCAGGGTGATTGACTGAATGGCCAGAAGCCTAAGTCTGGGCCTGCTGCACAACCTTAATTAAAATATTCCACTCTCTGGGCCTCAGTTTCCTCCAGCAATTGCATTGGAGCATAAGGTGGGGTGGAGGAAGGAAGGATAGGAGATTACCCCACTGTGGGGCCACAGGGAAAAGAGGAGCCAGATGAGTCCTGGAATAGGGCCAGGAACCCAACTCAGGGCCCTTCTCCAAGCATGGGAGCATGGATAGCAGGGCAAGGAGAAACAGATGAGGCCTGAGCAGGAAGGGTGATTGGAGGTCCTTGGGATAGTTTGAGGTACAGATCAAGAGCCCCCAACTCTATATTCTCTGTGAGATCCCCTTGTCCAGCTCTGGAACCAGAGGAATCCTAGCCTAGGAACATCTCCTAGCCAAAGCCTGCAGAAGCCCTTCCAATGTACATCTTTTCCCCTTTGAGAGGAATGAGTCAAGATGGTGCTCAAGGAGGGTGGGGGTTGGCACAGATACCTGAGGCAGGTGTGGGGTGGAGGACTGGGTCTGAAGAGAGTGCCATTTTCTCTCTGGACAGCACAGGGTTGAATTTGTCCCCTCCCTTCCCTGAAGCTCCCAGTCCTGACTGGCCCCCTAAGGGGTCTATGGTAGCAGGTTGAAGGGGGCAAATGGAATAAAGATAAAGTGCTTAGAGGGGAAGATGGGCAAGAGGGAAGATGGGTGAAGGTTTGGGGTAACTGAAGTGAGAAGACCCCCACCCATCCCATCCCCAGAAAAGGAGAGAGGAAGGGACTCCAGGGTGAGCTCAGGGGAGCAGCAGGTGGGGGAGGGGCAGGGCTCAGCGGATGTGGGCACCAGGCTGGAGGGCCCGCCCACCTGCCCACCCCACCCCCTTCCCTCATGGGGGGGCAGGGAAGAGGACAGGAGGCAGGAAGCAGCCCCAGAGTGGGGCCCCCCCTCCCGGGGGTGGGGGAAGAGAGAGCATGAAGTGGAGGAAGGAGATGGAGATCTTAGCTGAGCTGAGGATCCAGAAGCCATGCTGAAGAAGGCTACCTGGGACCCCAACCCTATCTGTCCCATTCCCCCAGTATCTCAAAACACTTCAGTTTAAGACTCTGGGCACTGTGGAATTGGGAGGAATCAGTCCTGGGGAGATCTTCAAGAGAGGGTGAGAATCTCTACGGATCCAGAGAAAGGGGGGAACCTCTAGAAAGACCAAGTGCTTCTTTGCACTAGGGTCCATGGGACCACCCTTTGGTCCCCAACTACACACAGCCTCTCCACCTCAGCTCTCAACTTCACAGTCCCTACCTCCCCTTCATACATACAGATGAAAGGACTGACCAGTTTGATTCCCCTACCCCATAGCATCATCCCCTCGCAGAGCCCTAAGGTAGAAGAAAGGGACAACAGGATAGGGGGAAAAGGAATTGAGGCTCGGATGGAGCACAGAAGATTTAGACCTGGAAGTGACCTTGGAGGTCACTGACGCCAATCTTCTCATTTTACAGCTGAGGAAACTGAAATCCCAGAGAGGTGAAATTGTTTTCCCCAGGATCACATAGCTTTAGTAAGTATCTGAAGCAGCATTTGAACCCAGGTCTTCCTGATTCCAAGTCCAGTGTTCTAACCACTATTCTATCTAGCTGCCTCATAACAGGACAGAGGTCAGCTCCGGTCTTGCAAGCCAGGAGAAAGGACGATGGTGAGAGAGGAGAGAAAATTGTAAAGCTAGTAGGTCATATGGGATAGAATCAGCAATGCAGAAATGGGGCTGTGCTCCTTTAAGAGACCCCTTTACTCCCTACCCCAGACCCTGGGTGGAGGGGAAGTAGCTGCAAGGAGTGATAAGGGAGATAAGAGTATCATGTTTGTACAGTAACCTGGGTTTCTGAACTCCCACCCCTCAGACTCTCTTTCTCTGAAGTGTCCTTTTCCCTCAAGGAATTACCCCAGGTCCCCTCAGCAAAACTTTTTGTCCTTCCCTGAAGAGTGGTTCCCCCCTCCCCAAGTACTGCCCTGGACGAGGTCCCTAGAAAGTCTGAAAAAGAGAAGAAGTCTAGGAGTCCCATAGGAAAACACAGCTGAGAAATGCCTTAGGAATAATCTAATCCAACCCCTTCATTTTACAGATGGAAACAGCTAAGGCCCAACAAAGGTCAGAGACTTATCTAAGGTCATACAACTAGTAAGCAAGAGAGTCAAAATTCAAACCCAATTCTAGAGAAAATAAGCTTCTTGAGCTGGTATGCTGGCACCAGTTCCAACTGGCTCTGGAGAGCTGGTTGTTAAATTTTCAGTGTGATCATTTACACTTTAGAAATTGCCAAACGGTACAAATCAGGGCTTGATTTATTTTTGTTGTTGCTGATTGTCTAGACTTAAAAGAAGTGATGGGGAAATTCTTAATAATGCAGATTAAACTTTAAAGTGTTTCCTGCACACACATTTCCCACCCCACCCCCCAGCTAGTTGTTAAGCTTTTACCAGAACATCCCTGCTTATTGACTTGACTTCTAGAGACTACCAACTCAGCATTCTTTCCACTGCGACATTCTCTCTTTACAACGTGAACCTTTTTACTTGTACTCAATTCCTCTTCCTCTGTAAAGATGTGTGAAGAAGACCTTGGAAACCCCAAGAGTAACCTAGCCCAACCTGCTACAGCAGGTTCCACAAAATTGGAAGGACTTCCAGTACAGGTCCTTAGATCGGATGGCCAAGGCCTGGCCTACCATCACCAGAAGAATGGCCTTGGAGTGAAGAATGATTTTCAGCTTCAATTCACAAAGTGAGTTATATAAGGACAAAAGACCCTTTTGGATGAAATCATAGCTCTTTGATGTATTGAAATCTGTGTAAAAAACCTTTACAGGGATCCTGGATTCTAATCTTGGCTCTGATACCAATTAGCTTGTTCGATCTAGAACAAATCCCTACTCTTACCTAAGCCTCAGTTTTCTCTAAGGTTCACTAACTCTCAGGAGTCATCCTTACTCTGCACTTCCACGTCCCATCTTCCACGGTATCCCCAGGGTAAAGAGAGGCATTGGGTGTACCCATCACCTCATAGTTCTCCCTACTCTATCTCAGCATCTTGGGCTTATCACCTGCCAGTTTTCTGAGGAGGGCCCCAAAGTAAGACCTGCCTCCCCTACAGAATCTCCCCACACCTTACCTTGACTTTGTTAGGAGTTTCATCATGTTGCCACCATGGGTGAGACTAAGATAGAGAAGAGATGAAAAGGAAACTGGTCAATAAGGGGCCCACTGCAACCTGGGTTTGGGGGGGGCTAGAAATAATATTTTATTTTTTCCAATTACATGTAAAGATAGTTTTCAACATTCACTTTTTATAAAATTTTGAGTTCTAAATTTTTTCTCCCACCCATCACCCTTCTCCAAGACAGCAAGCAATCTGATATAGGTTACATGTGTGCAATTATGTAAACATATTTCCACATTAGTCATGTTGTGAAAGAAGAAATAGAACAAAA